ACTGGGCCATGCAGTCCCCAAGACAGGGAGTTGATTTCTATCTCAAATGTATTTCTGCAGTCTAAAGATTCCTATGTGCTGAGCTTTGCCAGGGGAATTTGCTTCTCAGGATGAAAGAGATTTTGTTTATTTGTTTTTCCCCCAAAAGAGAAATAAGTTGCCAAACTAACCTGGACAAAGAATAGTGCTTTAAATGGGATATTGCAGCTTTATATTTATTTGCTTGTTTATAGTACCTTTATATTCTGTAAGAGCACAGCAAGAATGCATAATCCATTGTGACTATTTATCATAGCTTTAAGAAAGGGACCTGCTGTCAATGGACTTTTCAGAACCCAGCTGTATAGAGCTTTTACCTGAAAGAAGTGACATCTATGTACGTCTTAAGAAGTGACATCTATGTACGTCTTGGACAGATAGAAAGGTTGAATGCTAAGCCAACAAGAGAGCAAGCACTGTGTGAGTTATTCCCTTTGAGAGGGTGTTAAATAATGAGAAGGATGAAGAACAGGAAAGGAAAAGGGGCAAATAAAAAAAGGAAGGGAAGAAAGATGTGGAGAAGTGTGGCTGAGGTGTGTTGGGACCAGCAGTAACATGTTGGCTGAAAGAGTCACTAAAAAGAAACATACAGTCAAAGCCATAGACAAGTTTGGTGACATCGTTATTGGCCCTTCTCTTGTTTAAATTACTTTTGGAGCTGCTCTGTACCTAAAAACAAGAAGGGATCTGCTGGGCCATCAAGTTCAGTCCTATGCTTGCAGCCATCGCGTCATATGATCCCTCCCCTGAATTGGTGGTACTCCAGGCAGCTTGTTTTCCCAAGGTAATGCAGTATCGGTGGGGGGAGAGGGAAGTGTGAGATCAGTGGGGTTTGTGGACTAGATCTGTCCCCTCCATTGTGTGGTGTGTGTTTAGCATCTGCTGTGTTCCCTGCCAGTGCCCTTGTGACCTGCCAGGAGGAATTGGGACAACAGTTTCTGAAATTGCTAACATCGCTGTTTGGGCTTGGCAATAAAGAGCACCACTCAGACAGTTCCCGGATGCTGGCCCACAAATGGCTGCAGTGTTAAATTCACAACTTGACTTGGGAGTTAGCACAGGCCAGGGAACATTCCTGGTAAGTCAGGATGTACAAGGCCCTTTCGTGGTGGTATCCTTTGCGCAGGCTGTGCCAAGCAGCAGTGCTACACTGCAAAAATTCCATGCCTGGGGGCTACAGAAGCTGAAAAGAGCAATGTGGAAGAGGGGAAGGAGATCACATCCTGCAGGAGACTGTCGCAGAGCTAGGAGATTCTAGCACCCAGCAGCAGAGGCCTGTAAGCACACAGCCTGCCAATGCCGAGGTAAACGTAATACCTTTAAGTAACGTGAAAAGTTGGGATCAAAGTCAGCACTTGAGTACAGCCTAGTATGGTTGCCCTGCCAGGCTGCACTAAAGATATAGCAGGGGTGAGGGAGTAGCAGAGATCCCCTGCTCACCCGTAAGGGGCCCGGATGCTCTCCTCTGCACCACCCACCATTATCCCAGATCCTGGGGAAGCAGCCCAGCCTTTGAGGAAGGAGCAGAGCATGCCTGGGAAGGACCCTTCTCCACACTGTGGCTTTCAGCCCTCACCATCTGCCTCAATAGAATAAGCCCATCTCTGGCAAGTCAGCAGTTAGTTTCTCCAGAGGTGAGAGAGAAAGGAGGAGGAATGGGGAGGACATGGACATGTTCTAGTGGTAGATGTTGTATTGGAGACATTGGGCAGCACACGTAGATGGGAGGTCCAAAAAACATCTGACGGTCTGAGATGAGACGGGTGCGCTTGGTTTCTCAGCTAGGACATGCTCAAGGTCAAGTGGAGAGATGTGACTTTGTAGAGCAGCTCTTGCAATAACTACTATGTGTTTTTTTTCTGACATGTTCTGCGTGTGTACACATACTGCAGCAGCCATTCTAGGTGGTAACATACCAACAGCAGTCTCTATATCAGACTATTCCTGGGTCTTGATCACGCATCAGCAGTATGACAAATGGGAACCATACCGTACCATAACTCCCTTGGAGGCGTCTTTACCAAGGGAAGGTGACAACAGAACACAAAGGGTCATTGGCTCAATACTTAGAGCAATTCCTGAGGTCCATGAGGAGGAATGGATCCTCCTTGGAAATACCTACGTCCAGGGGCAGATGGCGAGAGGCAGCTGGGCCCCCTCACGCCTTCTCAGATGGGACATCGGACTGGAGAGGGGAAGTTGCTAATCTGCATGAAGTGCAGAGGAAGAGAGTAGAGAGACATCACAGGAAAAACATGCAACTAGAGAAATGAGAGGCAGTTCATGGAGGGTAAAGACCCCTCCTCCTCTGCACCACCAAGTCCCAAAACAAGGTATCCCATCCCAGTCATGTGGAGCCTTTCATGTAAGACAGCTCTACTGGGTTAAGAGGCAGAGGGTATTCTGTGTGGGTCAAGTTGGTGGGCAGGGCTGCCCACCAGTGTCCATGCCAGCACACTTGCAGCTGGGATGTGGCCATCCTTGAGTTTGCTAGTGGGTGACTGGCCGCAGTGCTGGAGAACAGTCTCAGGCACGTTTTGTTTACCAAAATAGACACAGCATATTAAAACAGAAGCCAAAGCCCCATCAAATCTTCTACAATGCTGAATAGACTCCTGACTTCAGCAGCCTTGATGCTGTTTGACGAGAAGGTAGTTTACCAGTAGAAGTAACGGCAATGTACCCTAATGCAGAGCAGTAGCATGTAGGCTTTTCAAATTTAGTGGCAATTGTTGCAAGGACTTCTTAGTATGAATGTGCTTTTAAATGCGCATCCGTTTGGAAAATTCTCTGCCAGCATTGCTGGATTCCTACCCCTGACAGGCACTGCGTGAATCCGGAGTCCCTGCATTATGACACTGGATTCGGAAGGTTTGATTTATGGCCATGGTTCCTAAAGTCTTACCTTGGCACAGCAGGAAGTATCAGTTCCCAGAGAGAGAATGTGTAATGGTGTAGTGTGTGATGAAACCTTTCTGGTGATAAGTTCTGAAGACCAGCATTGTTCATGACAGCAAGGTCAGTTATGTCAGCATTTTTCTTTACTGCATGTTAATTGCAGTCAGAGGTAGGAGGCTGTTGTGTGGACAAGATACACGGAATCACACAACCACAGCCAGGCTCGGGCTGGAGGCACCCCTGGGTGGGGGCCTCTGGTCCAACCTCAGCTCACAGCAGGGCCAATGTCACAGTGACAGCAGGTGGCTCAGAGCCATATCCAGTCAAATCTCAGCAATCCCCAAGGATGGAGATCCCCTTTAGTGAACCATGTTAGTGACCCTTCACTGGACTGTCTCCAGTTTGTCTGTGTCTCCCTTGTACCAGTATGGGTTCAGTGGGCCAAACTGAACAGTTTCCAGATGTGACATTACCAGTGCTGAACAGGGCAGAATAATGCCTTCCCTTGATCTGCTGACTGCACTCATGCTTGTCCCTATGAATGGGGCTGGTGTGTTCCAAGGTAGGATTTTGCATTTGTCTCTTGCTGAGCGTTGTGAGGTTCCTGTCAGCCTATTGTAGTGCCTCTGAATGGCAACCTTCCTCCATGGCCTGTTGACTGCTCATCCTAGTTTGCTGTCATTCAAAAACCTGTGGAGGGTGTACTCCATTCCGTGGTGCAGGTCATTGATAATGATGTTAAACTGAGTCAGCCCTAGTGTTGACCAGTGCTGATCCCTCACTCAGCACTTGGTCTGCTGCCCGTGATGGTATGAACAGGGAAGTGCGACACTGGATATAATCATTAGCAGTGTCTGCTAATTTCTTCATGAAAGACATTCATTATGTCAAGACTGACTGAATTTAGCATAAAATTAAGCACTTTTGTGTTTGTCTTTTGAATCTATAAACAAACATAATGGAAAGTTCAATTTAATATACAAGCAGGAGACCTCTCAGATTCCACCTTTGCATATTCTACAACATTTCTCAAAAGCATTGGCCATCTCTTTGGTGGTACAAGGAGAGATGTAGTACCTAATTCCATGAGTTGTCAGCCTGATTTATTTTTATTTTGCATGAAATAAAATAGTATATGAGTGCACAGTGGGACTAAAAGTACTTTCTGCAACTTTTTATGAAGAATAGAAAGTTAAGACAAAAAGCATAGCTCACTCTAATTAGAAAATAGGAATGTTAATCACAGAAAGAAATGGATTCAGGGTTGCTCTGAAAGTTTCTAAACGGCCTTAAAATACCTACAGCTAAAGGAACTGAGCTTCACTGTAAACCTTTTGTGTGGTCTCCTCATTTCTGAGAGTTTCCCAGATTGTCCCTATTGCTATCTTGTTAAAAAAAAACAAAACCCTTATTAGCACAAATTATCCTCTTGTTCTTGACCACAAGCCTGCTAATAATGTGGGTACTTCAGTATCCCTCAAGAACAGAGTACAGTGCAAAAGTGCTATGCCATAGGGGTTTTTTTATCTCCTCTTCTCATCCATTTGAATTGCAACACAAAAATTGCAGGGCCTATATGAAACTTTTCCCTAGACATTCAAGAGTTCCTATATTGATTCCATTGATATGTTAAGTAATTTGTTTCTTTGCCAGGTCATAAAATCATTTACCTCATATGTTTGAGGCAAACCCAAACCTCTTAATCCCACCAAGACAGTCTTTGCCCATTGAACGTAGTATGGGAAAGGATTTGAGAAAAAGTCACCTGTCATGGAAATTTTGAATCAGTGGCAACGAGCAGAGACTTAGGAGATAAACCAGTAACAGATGGGGGGAAGTGCGTGTGAAGGACATATTCTTCGTAAATGTACCATAAAACTTCGTGAAGAGATGTCTCAGAAAAAAATTAGAAAGCGCTAGGCTTATTGTTAAAATCTTAAAATTTGAGCAGTACGGTCATTTTCAGGAAGGATTCATCAGCCTAATCACAGGATGCACACATTTAACGTTCTGAGAGAAAAAGGCTCGTCTGATTTATCTTTTTTTCTTTTTCTTCTACAGTAATTAATGAAAATCAAAAGCAGCAGCTGGAATCTGTGAGCTATTCCTCTCGCTACGCTCTGGGACTTTTTTATGAAGCCGGAACACGGATTGATGTCCCCTGGGCCGCTCAGTACATCACCAATAATCCCTGCATACGCTTCATCTCCATCGATAATAAGAAACGCAATATAGGTCAGTGCTCCCATTATTTCCCTTAAACACAGTGACAATAGAGGGTGTAGATCATGAAAAATGCTGTTTAATTGAGTGTTGCTATTCTGAACAGAGCAAGTATTTAACTCCAAGCCACAGTGGATAGCATTTAATGTCACGTTTGGCCTGTAATAAAATACACAATGAAAGCGGGAAGGTCCTCAGAAAATCACCATCCAGCACATGGTTTACGTTACTGCATTTTTGAAACCAATGTTGGGGGATTTGAAACATCGAAATGTTGCTATTCCAAGGAAGAGCTTGAGTTCCTTTGCTTAAACTTTAATTCATACACATGCCAATTTCTCTCTCATCATCCATTATTTTACAACCCCTGTTCTTTCCACTAAGTATGCTTGCAAGTAGTAATGAGTTATATAATTGAGACTTTTCAGTCTAATTCAGAGTTAGCTAGTTTGCTTTTATAATCATGGAAAATTCTTGAAATGGCTGCACATAGCATGACTGTTTTGCAAAGTCTGGAGAGCATCCCACAAGGCAGACACTTCTCATCTGTTTCTGGAAGATGGCAGTAAAACAAATGTATGTTTTATTTATTAAATGTATTTCATATACCAAGAGGTCTGGGAAGTATGTTGGCATAGATTATCTTAAGATTAACCACTAGCATTTGGGTTTAATCAAGTTAGTTAGAAACTAAATATGCTTCCTAATTCTATTACTAGCACACATTGTGATCATGATCTAGTTAACCGCATCTGTGAAGCTGGGATAATAACCTACCCACCTTTGCGGCAACCTGAAAAGCGCAATGACTCACTGTTGCAGCATAAGGAAGTATTTTCATAATCAGATGCTCCCTAATACAAGAGATAACTATTATATATTACCAAATTTACTTTGCTGAAGCATGTTCAGATGCTTAGGATACTTCTATTTCTAATCTTTCTTGTTCAGTCAGGGTTGATTGTTTCCTGTCTGTTATTAATAAAAGTTGTGTTAGTACCTGTTGGGCAATGCATTCCAAACCTTTCCATCACCCTTAACATCTAAACACCGTCATCATGCTAGAAAATAGCCATAAGGTGGGATATGCCTTTCTTCTCTTACACCATAAACATGCAATTGAATATCATAAGCTATCATGAAGGTGTGTCATGGAATCATAGTAGTGCTAGTAGACGGGACCTTTGGAGGTGTCTACTCCAACTGCCACTCATAGCAGGACTGTTGCTAAGTCAGGGCAGCTGTGGCTTGTCTAGCTGAGTTTTTAAAAACCTAGGATGGAGATCAGCTGCCTCACTGGTGATCTGTCCCTGGGCTGCAGCCCTATTCAGGTAAAGAATTGTTTCCTTATCTCCAATTTGGACTTCCCGAGGCATAGCTTGTGGACATTGCCTTTTTTTATATTGTCTGACTCTACTGGTTAGAATCACAGAATAATTTAGATTGGAAGGGACCACTGGAGGTCATCTGGTCCAACCCCCTATTCAAAGTAGGGACAGATGTGAAGCTAGATCCAACTGTGAAGTTCGATCACATTCCTTAGGGCCCCATCCTGCTCTTGTTTGAATATCTCCAAGGACTGAGATTCCAGCACCTCTCTGGTCCCCTTTTCCAGTGTTTGACTACCTTCATTGTAAAAAAAATGTTCATAATTCTTAATCAAAATTTCCCTTGTTTCAACTTGTGTCTGTTGCCTCTTGTTTTTTCTTTGTGCACATCAAATTAAAATATGGCCCCACCATCTCTGTAACCCTTTCAGGCAGTGGAATATGCAGTTGGATCCCCCTCCACCTTCTTTTCTCCCAGCTGAGCAAGCCCAGGTGCTGCAGCTTCTTCTGGTATGCCCTGTGCTCCACCTCCCACCATCTCAGTGACCTCCCTGGACAGTATGTCAGTCTTGCACTGGACGACCCCAAATGGAGCACAGTATCCAGTTGTGATCTCACAGGTACTGAGTAGGAGTACTGAGGATGCCACTTCCCTTGGTATACTGGTGATGCTTTGGCTAGTGCCACCCAGTATGCGGTCAGTTTGCATCATTGCCGCAAGGGCACACTGCTGATTTATGGTCTACTTGTCATCCCCCATGCCCTCCAGACCCTTCTCTGCAGAGCTGCTTGCTATTCTGTAGACCTCAGCCTACACTTTTGCATGGGGCTATCACCTCTCAGGTGCAGGGCCTTACATTTTCCTTTGTTGAGCTTCATGGTGGTTGGTTTTATAGTCTTCATAACTGGTCTTAAAATAATTGCAAGCTGCTGTTAGACCCCCTGCTCCATCAACCTCCCCTTGGCCTGATCCAACAAGTCCAGCTGCTTCCACCTCTCCTTTTAGTTGTGTGCTCCAGATGCTGATGAGTCTGGTAGCTCTTCCCTTGATTGTCTCCAGTTCTCCACATCTTTATTGAACTGGGAGGACAGGAGGCAAAACTGGACACAACACTGCAGGTGCAGCCTCGTAGAGGGAGATAATAAGCAATTGAGATCTCCTGGCCACAGTCCTCATGATGTAGCTCAGGATGTGGTTTGCCACCTTTGCACTGCTGGCTGATATTCAGAGTTGCATCCACCATAACAATCATGATCTTTTCAGATAGATCTGTTGCTCAGCCGTTCAACTGATGCATGGGGTTATCCTGTCCCAGTTGCAGGAGTTTGCATTCCTCCTTATTGAAACTCATGAGGTTCCTGCTGGCCCAGTCTTCAAGTTTCTTGTAGTCCCTCTGACCTAAAACACTAATATTTTGTGTCAGGCACTTCCTCTAGTTTAGTGTCATCCTTGGACTTACTGAGGGTGTGCAGTATATCATCTTCCAGGCCACTGATGAACAGGTTGGACAGTATTTTTCCCACTATCAACCCATGGGGTATTCAGCTCGTTACTGACTGCCGGCTGGATGTAGAGCCATTGACCACTCCCCTTTGAGTCCAGCCATCCAGCCAAATAAGCCCCTCTGCAGTGCGGCTGCCACTGAAAAGCTAGTGCCTTGAGATGGTCTTATATTTCGTTCAAACAGCTCCAAGGCCTGAGTTCTACGGTTTTCAGCTATTAAGGTACAATGTATGTCAGAAAAAAGGTGTTCGCCCTGGTCTCACAGTTTTCACAAGAGCATTATATCTCTTGTGTTCCTAAGGAAAGCTGGGCCACACAGAATGACCATCCTGAGTCAGCCCATAGGCAGTCGTATGAGGGTTTGTCCTGAATTCCTAAGTGCCAGGCAGATGTGCTCACATCTCGCTGTGCTCTTTGCGCCATGCTTAAATATCCTGTCCTTTATTTCCAGCCCAGGTTAGCAGTAGCTGATTGTGCTAGGCTTTCTGTTTTAGACAGGCGAACTGACATGGCAAAGACCCTATAGGAATTACCAGCTGGGGATGGCTTTACTTATTTCAGGACCCGCCTAAAGGCAGAGAAGCCAGCTGGACACACAAGGTTCCACCTCACTTTAGATGTCTCCAATGTAGAAATCTCCGTGTGAGCTCAGCACACAAGAAATCTTCTACAATCAGTAGGGAGAAACCAGCGCTTTATGGAATGATTCATCCAGACAATTTCAAAGATACTCTTTGGGGTGAAATGTGTTCCACCTGGAAGTGTCTATTTCTCTCCATTCACTGAACTTAGGGTGGATTGCTGGGAAGTGGGCCTCTGTATTTCGTCACATAGTCCATGGCTTGCCTTGGTGATCGTACTTTGTCTCAGTCAGGGACTAACAGTGCAGTTCAAAACAGCTCTTCCAGATATGCCCTTCTTTGCACCCAAGCCACCTGGGTATCAGTGGCTCTTAAAGTGCCTCCAGAAATACCAATTTATGCTTGGAGCAAGAGCTGAAGAGGTGAATAAACTCTCCACTGTTAAAGCCCAGTTTTGATATTTCTCCTAAGAATTTAGCTTGTTGGCCTGAAAAGAGGGAAGATACAAAAAAAGAAAGCCTGCGCTGGCCAAAAC